GCTCGCCGTGATTATTCTTTAATGGTAATTCAAAACCGCGTCCTAAATCTAATCCGATTTTTGACACGTTTGGACCGCCATACTGCCCTAGGTTAGGGTTAGTTAAGTACATATGGCCCTGGCCTCGGCAGTTTTGAACAGCGTATATTAACGCGGTTAAATAACGGTTAAATATGCTTAGTTAAAAATGGAGCAATAATCACCGCGCCTTAAATCGATACGCCCGTCTCGCCGACCGCCATGGCACTCATCGATGACCAGCAATCTCCGCCAGCGTCTCATCCACTTGCTCTCTCAGAAGATAGCGTTAGGGAGGTGGTGGAAGAGATACGTGTCCATGAGCTCGCAGTCGCCTCGGTGGATGCCGAAATGCAGGAGCTCTACCGTCAGGCCGCTTTGCTTCGTTCGAAGAAGCAGAAGTACCTCGACTTGATAGGAAAATGCCGCGGTCGCATCACTCTTGCTTTGAGAGTTCCAGACGAACTCCTTGCCCTTGTTTTCGAGCATTGCGCTTCGGACTGGGCGAAGGCACCGCTTACTTTCTCGCAAGTGTGCCGGAAATGGAGACAAGCCGCCACGGCGCCCAATGTATGGTCGCGGGTTTCGCTCACGAGTGAAAGCAAGGACTCGGTCTCGAAGACCCAACTCTGGCTGAGCCGTGCTTTGGACGCCCCCCTGCACATCACTGTGGATATCGAGGGCGTGGACGAGCAGATACTCTCCTCGTGGGACCATCTACTAGATCGAACTGCTCAGTGGCAAACTCTCGACTTCCAGACGCGAACAATACCGCAATCTAATGCTCTACTGTCCGCCATCTGTAATCGGGCACTGCCGCGACTGCGATTTGCACGCGTTCTGTGCTTAGAGCCGCCAATCGCGGCTGATGGCATCTTGCCTCCCGAGGCACGAGAACTCTCGATGCTAGAGGCATCCCTCAGAGATGCCCCCGCTCTTCGCCATCTAGCGGTTCATACCTGTCATTTCCCTCCCGCATATCCGCAACAGATCACCCGACTCGTACTGAACCTATCTCTGCTTTTGGCACCCAATACGCCGAGCGCCGAACTTGAACCACTCCTAACACTCGCCGCGCTACAGCACTTGACCAACCTGACGATATACGCGCCAGTCCCTGGCTACTTCACCCGGGCGATTGTTGATGAAGAGATCCCTGTCATCGAGTTTTCGCACCTCAAGACGTTCACGCTCGATGCCTTCCGCACAATCAACTCCGTGCTCACATACATTCGTGCGCCTTCTCTGCGTACCCTGCGACTGCGATCTATTGAAGACCCCCTGACGCACCCGCACGCGCCAACTGCCGCTGCGCTACTGTCTTTTCTGGCGGCGAGCGTTCCACCCCTGCAGCGATTAGAGCTACATGATGTAGACCTGCCGGCGGCGGACTTTATTCGCGTATTTCGCGCGATGCCTCTATTGGAGACGCTCCGGCTTCACGAGACGGAAATACCCGACGAAACTCTCGCTTCGTTGAACGGCCCGCGTGGCCTTTGCCCTTATCTCAAGCAACTCGACCTGCGTTGGTGTGAGCAGCTCACAGGCGCCGCTCTTGTCGACCTAGTTCAATCTCGCTTAGCTGATACCGAGAGGGACGTCGAGTGTTGTGCCATAGAGCTCGTCCGAGTCATCAACTGTGCAATGGTCAAGGAAAAGGATGTGCTCAGTCTCGCGCGCATGGCGGCATGCAGCGTTCACCTTTCCAACGCGGAAGATGAGTCGGAAGAGTACTGTCGTGCGTGATTATCGCCTATACACGAGCTCGCCACTCATCATCTTTCCTCAGGCTCCAAAGGCTGTTGCAACAACGGTCGTTATCGACAACGGATGATGCTTCGTCACCACAAGGAGATTTTTGGAGATGCCGGAGAGAAGTTGATGAATCTCATATTAGACTGATGACAGGGATATGGAGTCCGCATAGGGTAGAGTAGATACGTAGAAGCAATGAGCTCGTAGATCAACGGCAATGCATGGATTTCGAACGCGACCCGAGCACACGAGTAAATATAATAGTTTGCGCCGACGAAGAATTAGGCTTCGCTGGCTATCCTGTGAAGGCTGAGCAGTGAGCTTCGTCAGCCAGGATGGCCCCTCAGATGATAGGCGCATTTACTGACCTAGGGACAGATTGCGCAACACTACTAGCATAAAGAGAGCTGCCGACGGGAGTACGCGCTGTGTGACTGCTTTCACGTGATCGTGCGCGGCTACTGGAACGCGGAACCCCCGTATCGCTATACGACGTATTTGCCAGAGGTCTCCGTGTCCCCTTGACCTTGCCGCCACCGGTACCATATCTGCATCGGGAAAAGCGTCAGCTACAGCGTCTTACTCAGTGCAAATATTTTGCCTACATGATCATATCTTTAGCTCGGTCGTCCAGTGAGACCGTTATGGGTAGTGAGCGCTGACTCTCCGGCACGTAAAACCCAAGATGAATGACATTGGGCTTGTCGCTATCGCCGTCGACGTCGTATTCTGTGCGCTCTCCTTCGCCCGTCCTGAGATGCGTGTAGTCAGCAACCACAAAGGTGCAGATAGGTCTATACGTACTCGTATATAATCCGACCGTTCTCGTCCTTGAGAACAATGGGAGCTTCTTTCACTCGCCGTGGTACATGGTCGAAGTCGCCCACTCGGCCTACTTCATTCCCCTCACCGTCCTTGAAGATGACGTTCATCCCGGGTGGGATGATGTAGAACGTCCGGCGCTTCTCGGCGGGATCGGAATTAACACTGCGAGCACTGCTCTCCGAACTCGGAACTTCCGTTGGAACCTCCATTAGTATCGGAAGTCAGTACCGCTATGAAAACGAGGCAGACGCTCGGGAAACGTACAGATATCTTCGTTCCGTTTTGAAGGGTGTGCACGATATTGGATGTCATCGTCATGGTACTTGGCGTCGGACTAGCGGCCCGACTTGGGACACGAGGCGAATGTGCGACATCCCTCGTGGTGGTTCGAGCACGATGAATGGAGCCGTGTACCGACTGTTCGACGTGTGGCCGCGTAACATCGCCTGCGAGCATAGGCGACTTCGACTGCCGAAGGCGCACCGGCTCACGGTCATGCACATCGGCGAGGCCACCGAACGCTGGCGCCGATACACTGATAGAGTCCGGATCGAATTCCCTCGTATACTCGCTATCCGCGCGACTCTGAGAGATCCACGTCGGCGCAGTCGATGATCTGAAAGGCATCGGTTTTGCAATCTTGATATCGGACGACGGGGCTACGTAAGTAGCCGTAGAATGTGTCTGTGACCGCGAGCGATGGTGCGAGTGCGAGTGTGTAGAAGGTAGCTGGCGTCGGACAGTAGGCGCTCGGGGTGTGTCGCCAGTCATGTCGCTTCTGATGCTGACGCTATCTTCCGACGCCTCTGAGCGGTACGTGTCACTGTCACGATGGCGAGTCGCGGACGGGAGACGGGCATGTTTGTCTATTATAGCCCAATCCTGCAACGAGCTACGGTCAGCGAGATCTATGACCGGTGATGACAGGTGACGAACCTCAGACTTGAGATCCTGTATGAAGAACGCTCGTAAGAGCAGTGAAAATCACGAATAGCCTGTCCGTACCGTGGTTGAATCTGCGGTCAAAGGGCGGTTCCTCTTACTGTCGACATGCGGGGGGAGTCCATCAACAGTATTGTAACGATCTTGGGCCCAAGGCCATGCGTTGGTTTCGTCGCGGTCGACAGCCGTACTGGTAGGACTGTTGAGAGTGAAGCTACTGCCGTCGATAGTTTTGCGTCGCCCATATTTGGGGCGGGATTTGGGCTTGAGAATGTCTAGGATATGCATGGCGGTAGGCAGGCGCACAATGCCCGTGAGAGTATGGTGAAGACAGAGGCGTAGGTCCTTGTATGCATGCACCAGCTTTATGAGGTCCGCAAGGAAAGGGGCACCCTGACGGCTTTCAACACGAGGATACCATGCGAAAAACAGACGGAGGCCTGCCGCGAAGCTTATCTCCCTTCTCGTAGGTCGAAGAGGGCTATTATGACCCTGCTTGATGTGGCCCGGTGACGAACGCACCTCAGGCATGGCTATGATACAGCAAGGTATGCGTACAACATGCGATTCCTAAATTCCCACACGGCCAATAGCAAGAAGACAGGTTCGTCTGCGCATCAACTACTTCGCTGCAACTTCGCCAGTTCAGCAAGGGCCTGGGCTGTTGCCGTGATTGCCTGTGAAGTTGCAGTTACCGCCGAAGGATCAAACAAGGGCTGAGTGGTGAGGCTGGTCAGCCGAGTGCTCAAATGACCGAGAGTTGCATCCAGCGCTTGCACAGTCGCTTGCACGTTAGTTGGCTATAGTTTGTTTAGCGTCTCTTTCTCGTATTGACGGAAGCCAGGACCCACAGATTGCTCAGTCGCCGACGGTTTCAACGTCGCCGAACGGTCGGGTTGTGGGAGCGTCGCAGGCTGTTGCAAGACTTGTGAGCGCAATTCCTTCATATACACGGTTGGCCTTACCTTGCGCTGCTCTGGCGACGGAGCTGTGACGGTCGGCACGGGTGTAGGCCCGACCTTGTGTATGTTGCCATTGAGAAGGGATGTAAGAGCGCAAGAAATGCGGACTTACAGACGAAGCTCCTTCGCGCTCAACACCCTTGCCCTTGCTTGAAGAAGAGCTGGCCTGAGGGGTGATTGATATTGACGACCCTGCCATTTGCGTCGAACCGGCTTGATTCACGGGGACAAGGCGCTCAAAGCCGTTGGCGTCCTTTTCGTCGATGTACCAGTTGCCGCAACAAACGCATTGCTGTGTCTTCAGTCAGATCGCCGCCATACATAGACTGATCTCAATCTCGCCTTCCGCGGATCCTTTCCTCCGCCCGCTTTGGGGGGACGCTGATACCATATCAGCAATTTCTCAGAGCACCTAGTCGGAGGTTGATGCTCACCATGAGTGGTATACGCGGGCATGAGGCTGCCGGACACTCATCGGCCAACATGGCCCAACCCTTCAATCTTCGCACAGCGTCAGGAATGGCATTTCATCTTGGGAGTACGGCGCGGACTGACAAGAGCTTGGCCATTTCCGCCGAGGCTCGGTCCGATTGCTGCCTCCTTCTCAGGGACTCTTCCGTTTCTACAGGCGGTGCGAAGACAGGCGAGGACAGTGTGCTCGACATCGAGGTGGCCGGAGTGGACGGACGCGAGGGGTGATCGGACATGCTCGCCGTGGACGACTGGGCAGAGGCCGAGGTTGCAGCTTGGGCCGGTGTAAGTAGCCGTCTTACTTGGTACGGAGGGAAAGAAGACAAACTTGGTGGCGATTTGTCACAATCTACGCAAAAGCTAACGGTGCCATCAGCAGACCGTAGAAGAGGTATGCCGCAACCTCGGCTCGGGCAGGGTTGGTCGGTCAAAATCTGGCAAAAATTAAGCATCAAACGTGTAGCATGCCTGTGCAGATGCATACCCATCCTTTGGCCATCCACTGTGCTATCTGCGTCGAGCTCATTGTCCGTCCTGGTCGCCGGAGAGACGCTGTTACGCGTTTAGCGTGCCATGCGCCCTCGCGGGATATCACGCGACTTGATCGCAATCGACACGCGGTCGCCACTCCGACACGTCCACCTCCGAAGCGCTGACTTGCTTCCAACGTCTATCTCCAATCGGGGCCACTGTCACGACGAGCTGCCGCGTCTATGGGTCTGGGGCCTCTATGGTTTAATGTCGTCCTGGCCACTCTTTTTGTCTTCTTCGATGCATTAATATCGCAACGTGCATTCACCCTCGCGGCGTCGACTGCAGGCTGGTCCTCCACGAAGAAGCTTGGTATCCGGTGCGGAAGGTGTCCCTTTCGGAGAGATCCATTGCTAAATCAAATCTCAGGGACAAAGTTCGAGAGCTGTTCTATCATGGGTACAACAACTATCTTGAGCATGGTGTGTCTTGCTACTCCGCCTACTCTAAACCCTAGACTCATCGTGCATGCAGCCTTTCCCTTCGACGAGGTTTGTTCATGTCCAGCTCTTCTGAATGTTCTGATCGAGAACTGAGACGGTTATTCAGCTCGCACCGCTGTCCTGTGCTGGTCGAGGACCAGATTGGTACTCGCCGTGAGCTCATGCCCTTGTCTCAATCAAGCCAACGTCTTCACGATTACTCAGCTCTAATATCGCCGTAAACGACGTCAACGGTAACTACTCGCTCACCCTGGTTGATACTCTGGATACTCTTGTCGTTCTGGGGGATACGGCAGCCTTCGCGGATGGTGTACGCCGAGTCATCGACCACGTCTCTTTCGACGTCAACACCAAGCCTCAGATATTCGAAGCCAATATACGTGTGCTTGGTGGTCTTTTATCGGCGCATATATTCGCCAATCAAACCGGGCATGCCTTCCATCTGCCTTGGTATAGAGGTGAACTTCTTGACCTCGCACACGACCTGGGCGAACGCTTTCTACCTGCTTTCGACACGCCGACCGGTTTGCCTTTCGCAAGGGTATGCATGTCCTACGCTGCTCTGTATACTGCATCTGACGACTATTAGATCAATCTTCGCCATGGCCTGATGAGAGGAGAAAGCATAGAGAGTTGCACGGCCGGCGCTGGCTCACTCATACTGGAGTTTGCTACGCTCAGTCGGCTCACAGGCGACAAGCGATTCGAGAAAGCCGCTCGGAAGGCTTTCTTTGCTGTTTGGAACGCGCGGTCAGAGATAGGCTTAGTTGGCAATCAGATTAATATAATGAACGGGGTTCGTAAGACCACGGCTATCACTCTCGGCTAAGCTGATGCCCCTCATAGCAATGGCATCACCCGCAGATGAGCTCAATAGGCGCTGGGATTGACTCCTTTTTCGAGTACGCGCTGAAGTGGTATATCCTGAGTGGTGCGCATGGACACGCGCACATCTGCCTTGCTCGTTCTCATCTTCTCCGAATAGGCGACCAAGAATTCCTAGATATCTGGAATGAGTCGTACGCATCTGTCATGCAGTATTCCCGATCAGGGGACGGATTTTGGGTGGGTTCACGTCCTCAGTATGCTCTGGCAAGATGTACTAACTAATTCTACGACCGCTTCTAGTTCCGTAGAGTCGACCTTTCTAATGGAAATCTGCTGTATTACACCTACGATTCGCTATCTGCTTTCTGGCCTGGTCTACAAGTCATGGCTGGTGATATCGACAATGCTATCAAATCGCACATGTTTTGTACGTCTTCTTCCCTCTAGAGCAGAATATGGGCTGATCGGTTCTATCAGTTTGGAATCTTTGGCAGAAATACTCTGGCATACCTGAGATCTACGATATGAATTACAAGACTGCAACGGCCTTGGCGTTCCCGTTGAGGCCAGAGTTCGTTGAGTCCACGTGGTATCTTTACAGAGTGAGCGCTCTTGTATCATACAATGGAGCTTTCAGACTTACATATAGTAGGCCACTCGTGATCCATTCTACTTGGACGTTGGCCTGCGCGTCCTGTCGGATATCACAGCTCGGTCGAAAGTGGCTTGCGGCCTCACCGGGATAGCTGACTTGCGAACGAACCAACGTGACGACCGTATGGAGTCCTTCGTGCTCTCTGAGACCCTGAAGGTGCGATCAGCTCTCGCCACTTGACACCTGACACTCACTGTGGTTTAGTATCTGTATCTATTATTCGACGAAGAGAACCCTCTTCACACTGACGACTCGAATTGGGTCTTTACTACGGAAGGGCATATCTTGACCCTCAACAATTCTCTCCTCAAGCCGCCTTCGCGTTACCTCCGCGAGTTCAGACGTGGCGAACGACCTGAATGTCCCGCATACTCCGCTCCGGAATTCAGCGGGGAAGGGAGTGAACCCGGCCACGGGCTAACCGTTGGTATTCGCACACGCACAGACTTCGACTACGCGGCACACCTCCTTGACATGGACCCGATCAATGATGCGGGATGGCATCCGCAGGCTGAGTGTATGCTGCCCAAAGTCGACGTGTATGTGAGTCTTAGCTCTGTTTCAAGAATTGAGCGTGCCTGAAGCATGTAGCCGCAGCTGTTCGAGTTCATCATGTCGGTCGACAGTGCGACCGAAGCTGACGAGGACAAGACGCCCTCGGCCCAGAAGCTTGCTCGTCTCCCTGGCGGTTTCATGGTTCACGATGTCAAAGGAATACGTACTCGGGTCACGACTCGTCTCGACGGTCGTGGGTATGATATAACCAAACGTGTGTTCCCACGTATATCTTTCCGGCGCCGCTGATATATATGCGCGCTCCAGTGGGTCCCTATACCGTCCGCACCGGTCAAGTCGTATATCTCAACGACTCGCGTCTCGCGGGCGCTTTGGAAACGAGGCAACCTGCCGAGAACCGGCACCCAGACGTTCGGGTCCGATTCCATCTCGACGACCCTACCTTCGATCCCGCTCTGTTTCCTTGGGACGAGTATGGGCGCGACGCTGCCAACCTGGAGACGCTGTTTGTGGCAGAAGCGGAGGCGGGATCGCGATTTGTCGACGTCGTCGCGCAGACCGCTCTTTTTGGTGGAGACCCTACACGGGTCCAATCGGCCTCCCAGCTTCGCGCATCCAAACCTTCTGGTGTGATCGTGTCCCGCGAGGAGGGCAATGAGCTTGGTTGCGTGCCATTTGCGCGCGCGTATACCGGAACGGACGTCGTGCTCTTGCTGCGTCGAGGGCAATGCACGTTCTTGGAAAAGCTGCGCCACGCTAAAGAAGCCGGCGCGGCCGGCATCGTCGTACTATCCGACGAGGAGAACAAGATCCAACCGTCTATCGACCCTTCCGAATCCGCGCTTGCTGGATCACTGGATGACGTTGTTGCCCTTGTACTTCGTGCCAGTGAGGGTACGCGCATCTCAGCCATGTTGGACGCTGCCGAGATGAATGGTGGGCAAATGATCATGGTGTTGGAACCAGACGGCGACGGAGATGATGTATCTGGTGGTGTTGAGATCGTGGTTGAGAGCGAGGGCATCCCTGACCATCGTGTATTACATATCAACGGCCATCCCTTGCTCAATACACATTTGTTGGTTTAAGGTTTACGATCGCGAGAGGGCCATTCAGAAACCCGCTGCGTCTCGACGACAAGAGACAGGCTCATGCATGACCAGGACACGGTGGGACGTGTCCTCTAGTACAGGTTTAGATGACTGGTACCATGATCATAGGCTCGCTTGCTCTTACATCGTCAAAGGTATCCGGTGGGCTATTCGCGGGTGGTTCATCCTATCCGATACCGACTGGTTACCAGGAGCTCATAAATAGTTGGTGGTTGATGATCGCCGAAGGACGCCATCGTTATCAACCCTTGCTGCCCGTTGTTGCACTAGTTTCACGCCCAATTGTCTGTCTGAGCACCGATTGATGACAGCGCTAGACTCTAGTACAGAAGCCGACAGCGATTTATAGACAGAGATTCAAGCTCGTACATAAGATCGAGCTCTCTCCCGTTATGCATTCATCACATCTATCAAGCAGAAGCTACTTGGAGGGGGCCGGCTTGATAGCATACCATTTGTTGAAGACGAGGTCAGGATCATACTTCTGCTTCAATGCCGCGAGTTTGGCGTGGTTCTCGCCAAAGAGAGCACGGGTCTTTGCATCCGACAGGATACCTTCGTTCGAGTTCGGGTCCAAGGCTTCTGTTGGCGCATCGGAGTTGTAGTTGGCGTAACCGTTGTTGATGGAAGAGTCCCCTTCAGCGGTAGTGATGATCGAGGCGAGCTTGTCAGCACATTCGCGCACGAGCGCAAGCTTCTCGGGAGTGTCCTCTGGGTAGTCAATGGCCACAAGGCAGCTGAGGTCCATTCCGGGGCGTTTGAAAGCCGTCCTGTCTGCGGGCACCGCGCGGACCTTATCGAGATTCCAGTGCTCCCATGCAAACATGATCTTGAAGTTGTGCTCTTTCGATAGAGCGTATACGGCGTCTGCGACCTCTCGTGCGACCTCACTTTTCGGCGCGCGCATATAGACGGACTGTGAGGATATAGGTAAGTAAATGACGTCATTGAATCTGAGGAAGTGCTGACTTTGAGGTAGTAGTAGCGGCCAACAGGCACGCCATCGTCCTTGTATATTGGTCAACGCATAATTCGTGAGTGAAAAGATCACTTGGAATGCGGACCTGCAGTGTGTTGACCGCGGCGTAAGGCATTTCGCGCGTCATATCAGCAATCATAGGCCCTGCATGATCCGCAAAATATCAGAGGTGAAGCGACTTCGGACAATGAAAACGGCCCACCTATGCTGAGGAAATCTTTGAAATGCTCTCGCCCTTCGGCCTCAGACCCGTTGAAGAACAGACTTGCAATGACGCATGGCTGCCGATTGGTGATCAATATATACCGCCACCTCCGACCAGTGTGTGCTCACCGTATGACTCGGATCGGGCGATAAAGAGACAATGATCATAAACATCGCACGCGGATCCCTCAGCTTGTCAAACCGAGCTGCACTAGCTGCAGTGAGTTCCTCTAGAGTAGACGCAGGCCAGATAGCCAATCCGGAGTACACGGATTCGCGCTGAGGGTGAAGCTATCGGTTGTCCGTGAGTCTACGATCGGTAGAGTGACGACATGACAATACTCGCCTTGTACACGAAACGACTGACGACGCCAAAGTTCGATCCTCCACCACGCAGACCCCAGAACAGGTCCGCGTTCTCATCCGAGTTCGCGGTGAGTATCTTCCCGTCAGCGGTGACCACTTTGGCCTGCAGCACGTTCATTAGAGTTGTGGCTAGGTGTGTTGTACAACGACAAACCTCGACTAGATTATCGATGGTCAGGCCATGTTCTCCAGCGAGCACGCCGAAGCCCCCTCCCAGAGTCAACCTGTCAGAGTTCGTCAGCTTGCGCGCTTTTGAGCGTACGAGAGAGGCATTACCCGCCCACGCCGGTCTGGGTGACATAGATCAGTCTATTTGAATATGAATATCGGAGACATGAAACGACTCACATGAGACACGGTACCACCAGTGGTAGCCAGACCGTACTTCATCGTCTCGTTGTTGAACGTGCGCCAAAGAGCTCCTCCGTCTGCGTACGCAAGTTTCTTCTCCGCGTCGACACGCACACTTGCGAGGTGACGAGAGAGGTCGATGACCAGACCACCCTCGGAACTGGACGAGCCCGCAGGGTTGTGGCCCCCTCCACGGATGGCAATGGGAAGACCGTTCGAGCGAGCATACTTGATCGCAAGCGCTATGTCCTCCTCGTCACGAACGAAGGCGACCACGGCGGCACGGCGGCGGGCGTTGGCTGCCCAGCGAGTGAGGGCTTGCTCGTAGTCAGAGTCTTCGGGAGTGACGATATCGCCTTTGAAGGAGGTCTTGAAAGTAGCAAAGTCAGACATGGTGTTCGAGTGACTGTGACGCTTAGATGGACGCGTAGGGTAGTCTTATATACCAATCTACAGCCGCGCAGCGTCCACGCCTCGTTAGGGGTTTGCGCCCATAGATCAGCCAAGGTGGCTTTCCCATCAGCATCGTGAGCGCCGGCGAGAAATGAGCTCGAGATTTTGCGCCCCGATCCGAAATGCGCGCAGTTGAAGCTGACGGTGTAGTTCAACTAGGACCAGCAAGTCAAGCTTGCGCTTTCGCCCATGCTTGCAACGCTATTTGAGAGTTGCAGTGATAGACACCAGAGTGCGGCGGGTCGGTTGGCGAACCGGCCAATGTGCGTGGCTCAGATGCGAGTAGATCATCGCACCCGGATGGGTTTAGTGACGCGGCCAGTTGGCACCAGTCGGCCGCTCAACGAGCCGCCAGGCCACGTAAACGTGGGCGAATTCATGCAGATACGTATTGCGTATTGAGTAGTAGATCTCGGACTGTGGCGCTGGCATTTTACATCAGCGCTCAACACGTCCGACTCGATTCCGTCCCGCGATGCGCACGTCTTGAAGGGGATTACGAACTGTATACTTCCGGCCGGAGGCCTAAAGCCTCAACCACCGAGTATCATCACCACGCGATGGAGCGCGGAGTAAGAAGAGGATATTGGACCGCATGAAGTGGATACCCCGCGTCGTTGTGGGGAGGGAGGAAGGCGCGTCGGGTCTCGGCGCGTCGACGGCCGCGCCGGCACACGCGGATCGGTCGCGTCTCGACGCTAACCCTAACTTATGAGTTGTCATATTTTGTGTACACTGTACAGCATTGATCTTGGCAGCGAGCAACCGGTTCGTCAACCGACCGGTGCAAGATAGCACCAGCCCCGGACGATGGTGCCTTACGGTGAGAGCACTCTCGAACGGTCACATACGACGGGCTAGCGAATGCTCATCATTCGCATTCGGTGGATTTGTATCTATACAGGGTAGTTACTCTCGTACTCTCATGCAGTGTACACAAAGAAGATGTTTCTACACGTATGTCAGTACACTTGTACTGCATCCAATGAAGAACAGACGTACTCATTATCCGTCAGATCCAAGAACGCGCTCCTCTCCCTCTCGCGCTGAACGTCCGCATCACTCCAGCCCCTCCTCTCTTTCTCCTTCTGCACCGCCTTGACCTTCAGCTTGTTCTTATGAATGTTGATCGCGCGCAGCAAGAAGCAGATGAAGAGTTGGACCGAGATTAGGACAAGGATGGCGACTTTTCCGGGGATGTAGCCCGGCGCGTCTTTGGACTGGAAGATCTCGGTGCCGATGATGTTACCGACGCTGAAGGAGGCAAGGGTCATCGCGTTGATCGTGAGCTACTCGGAAGTGATTAGGTCGTGCTCCTGTGATGTAGAGTACGGATGGACAGCGCACCTTCTTCGTATGTCCGCTAGTGTTGCTGGCGTTGTACGCGTAGATGATCGAGAGAGCGCTGCCGAACGTGTTGACCAAGTAGATCGCTACACAGAATCAGCACCCGTGAAAGAGACATGGAAGATGAAAGCGCGTACCAAAGAGCAGCGCGCCCTTGTTTCCAGACCCGTTCAAGCCAACCAGCATGGCGGAGCCGACTATCGTCGGAATGAGAGCGAAGACGATGGGGAGCATGCGCTCGTTCTTCACGATGTCGTGTTAGCTATCATCGTGTACGCAGGGCAAGAGATCATGGAACGCACCTTCTTGTCCGAGTAGTACCCGCACGCCAGGGTGGTGAGCGCTGCAACGAGCCCACCCGGTGTAGACAATATAAGTGTCTGCTTCGTAGAGTAGCCAAATCCCTTGATGACGATGTTGCTGACTACCTCAGAGTCAGCGCACCCATTCTTCCAAACTTGAGCAAGGACATACAGTTGCTCAATGCGCCATTGGGGATGCTAGTCATCATCGTGCTAAGCACAATCAGCCACGTCCGCACATCGCAGACCGCTTCGACGATCTGCGAGCGCTTGAGCGTCTTGTTCTCCGTCCCTCCCTGATCGTCCCGCACGCGCTCGAGCACCGCGATACGTTCTTCGGGTGTGAGTCTCGCGGCGTGTACGGGGGAGTCGGGCATCCAGAGGAGCACTGCTGCGCCTACGAGGATCGCGAGACCGCCGAGCAGGAGGTAGACAATCTTGTACGACGCGATGGCGTGTCCGTCGTAGAAGGAGATGCCGTATGCGGTGAAGCCTCCGAAGATGGCTGTCAAGCCGTTCTATAGTAAGTCCCAATCAGCCTACATACTTCCGTAAAATGATGGGCTGGAGAGCATACCATGACGTAGAACCAAGATATACGGCTAGCCTGCTCGTTCTTCTTGTAGAACATGGAGATGATCAGGATCAGGATGGGCGCGACGCAGCACTCGCACATCCCCAGCAAAAAGCGTAACGCAAAGAAGGCGCCGAAGGATGATGGTACAGCGTGCAGCATAAGGATTGCACCCCATAGTACGATGTTACCGCCTATCAGGGTGTCAGACGGATCGCATAGCGTATGTCAACATTGTGCTCACCGAGGTACTTCGCCAATCTTAGTTTCTGCGAGATGTAGACGGTCGGGAACTCAAAGACGAGGAAGCCGAGATAGAACGCCATCGAGATCAGGTTGTACTGCTGTCCTTTGATGGGAAAGCCCATGATACTGGAACAGAGTGAGGTATAATTCTTCTACGCATACCGAGGAAGCTCACCTGGCATAGTTCAAGGAAGTCTTGTCCAGGAACTGCGTAAAGTACACGGCAGCGCATAGCGGCGGAATCCACAGGTCCTGCACCAAGTCAGCCAGTACTCGCCTATTAGACACCATGAACGTACCAGCTTCCGCCTCAACTTCGCGTTATACTCGTCACTGAAGACCTGTGTCCGTTCGCGCCCAACAAGCTTGAGCGCCTCGTCCGCGCGCCTATCATCGTCCGATGCCGAGCTAACGGAGTGCGCCTCGACATCAGCACCATCGTGCTTCTCATCGAGAACGGGTGACGGCGGCTGTTTCTCGTCCATAGACATCGTGAGGGTCGTAAAAAGTGGGGTGGAGAACACACACACGACTCGCGAGCTGTTGGACAAGGTACTTATGCTTATCCTATCCTGTGACCTTTGATACAGCCAGCGCTTCATGAGAATATGCGGAGAGGCAGCCTTGGGCCTTATCTGTGGATGCCGTACATGTGCAGGAGACTGGCACGGTCCAATCTCAATCCGCACGGGTGCTATCGCTCGACGAGCTCTCCATTCACCCCGGCGGGCGATCCGACGTCAGGACGAGGGTTGAGCGATCATATCCAGCTGCGCATGCGATAGTATGCGAGCACATCCACCTATGGACCGTCCTGAGGACCCTTATAAAGGTAGATGTTCGCAGAGAAGATCAAAGCCGGCGGCACGCCGCCCAGAAGTGGCGCTCGAGCGCTGAAGAAGTTCGAGGCACGCATACAACCGTAGGATCGGCCGAAGGCTTCTCGCGAACCCGAAGAAAATAGAAGGTATATGAAGAAGCAGTTTCCGTGTTGCAGATAGTAGTCAGTGAGTATGTGGTAGTGTACAGGCAAGAGTGGGTATGGGTCAGTTACAGCTTCTGGATGATCATAGACGACGCGGCGCCACCCTATAAAACAGCGGATCAGACTCGGGTGGGATTGATAAGGTGGCGAGAACACTTACACCGTTGCAGATACCGGCCGCACCGTACTCGCCCGACTTGAGCGAGTGCGTGAGCGAGACGAGGATACGTGCGCCCGAGTTACCAATGGCATGACCAAGGGCGACGGCGCCACCGTTCACGTTGATCTTTGCGGGGTCGATGTTCATCTTCTTCTCGGCGATGCGAACGACAACGGAGAAGGCCTCGTTAATCTCGAACTGGGCAATGTCCTCGACCTTCAAGTTGGCCTTCTTGAGGGCGATGGGCAGGGCAAGGGTAGGTGCCTCCGGGAAGAGCTTGGGCTCAATACCGGCGTCTGCGAAGGAGACGACGCGTGCGATGGGCTTGACGCCGAGCTCCTTTGCCTTGTCTGCGCTCATGAGGATGATGGCGGATGCGCCGTCGTTGAGGGAAGAGGAGTTGGCGGGGGTGATGGTGCCGTCGGGCTTCTTGAAGGCGGGGTTGAGCGTCGGGATCTTCTCGAACACGACGCGCTTGTACTCCTCGTCCTCCTTCACGACGGTGTCGCCCTTCTTGCCCTTGATCGTCACGGGGGCGATTTCGGCGTCGAACGCGCCCTCGGACCACGCACGGGCCGCGCGCTTGTACGACTCGATCGCGTGCGCGTCCTGCGCCTCACGGTTGATGCCGAACTTCTCCGCGCAGATCTCGCCGCAGATGCCCATGGACGACTTGTCGTATGCATCCTGCAGGCCGTCCGTCTCCATCGCGTCGCGCGCCTGGAACGCGCCGAACGCCGGGTTCTGCCGCGGCAGGAGGAAGCTGCATGTCTGAGATCAGACCCTGATGCACGCGTAGGATGCGAGGTGGACTATACGTACGGCGCGTTGGACATGCTCTCCATTCCGCCTGCTGCGACAACCTCGCGGTCGCCGAGCGCAATGGCGGATGCAGCAAGCATGGTCGCCTTCATACCCGAGGCGCAGACCTTGTTCACCGTTGTGGCGTCCGACGAGTGCGACAGGCCAGAGAGCAGCGCGACCTGACGCGCGGGCGACTGTCCAACGCCGGCCTGGATCACGTTGCCAAAGTAGAGCTCCTCGACGACGGATGGCTCGAGCTTGGCCTGGGCCAGCGCGTGCTTGAGGGCGACGACGCCGAGCTGGGGCGCGGTGAGAGTCTTGAGCGCGCCGTTGAGGGAGCCGACGGGAGTGCGGGAGGCGGCGACGATGACGACCTCGCGAGGGAGAGAAGATGCCATTGTGCGGATGTGGCGGAGATGGAGTGCGAGGCGGGAGGCGGCTGGCGACGATTTCGCAAACATGATATTGCGGGGCCCGTTTATATATTTATCGATCCCTTTACTTCGTGTTCGGTGCAAGACTTCTTCGGGCGCGAGCCAATCGCGGATCGTCGTACGACTCGCTTCCTGCAATCTTCCCCTTGTCACCGCAGAATGGGGCGAGCAGAGTCTGGTGTCAGCGACTGAACACGGACGCCGTCGTCGTAGTTGTCTTATAAACCGTGCTCCGGCGTCGCAGAAGCCCTCCGAGTACGCTGGCATGTGAACGCGCTCGGCTCTCATGAACTTGGACACATGACTTGCAGTGCCTCATGTTCTCGCCATTTACGTCGCGTAACGCGGCTAAAGCTAAGCGGGGTGGTAGGCTCGACAATATTTCCATCGTAGAGGAAGCTCGAAGGCGTTGAACGGCGTAGCATACGAGACACCATAAAGGAATAGTACAAGAGAAGTCGGAAACGGGAGGAATCTATGTGCGCCACAGGGTCAGAGGCGCAAGTCAACAACACTCCCAACGACCATGAACCACATCTCCAGCCACTTCAGCCCGTCTACTTCTGTCTCGGCGTCCTTCGTCAGTTCGTCCATAACAGTCGGAAGACCGCACGGGTGTAGGTACCATGCCGGTCGCCCAGTGCTCGGATGCTCGCCCTGGGAGAGGACCGGGAACGCAGCGTCGGGTGGCGTAAGGGAATACGCCGTCCGTTCAAGCTCTGGAAGACGCTCGTGTCGTAAAAGCGGCGTGCGTACAATCGCCTCTAGCGTGAGGAGAGCGCCATCTGTGCATAGTCAGTAGCTGTCATCTTTGCAAAGTCCTGTACCTACGGGAATCGTGCACAGAGAAGTAAAAGACGGGAACCTGAAACGTCGGAGAGAAGGCGACAGTTTGTTCGCAAACCAGTTGTGGTACCTGCGACGGTGCCGTCGCGGCATCCTCCTCCTCCAAGTTATTCTCAAGCTCCTCATCGGGGTTACCGAGCGCCGCCGTATGCGAGAGCGAGACTGCACGAGACAAGTATCCTAGCGGGGGATACGTCTGTGGACATGAAATGAACGGGACGTCACAAGTTACGAGGATGGTAGCTAGCGCACTGCGTGCTCCTTCCAGCGCCAATTCAACAAACCTGCGTCTGCAAGTCGATCGCTTGAGCGAGGCTTCCTTGCAAACTCTTGCGCAGCCTCGACGAATGTCTTTGCGGTCAGCGTCATGGAAGCCCGGGACGAGTCCGATGCGCTCTGTCAGTCTCTTATCGGCAAGTCGTATAAGTCAGTTATGACAGTTCTCGCGGCAGAGACGCCATGTTCATCTGAAAGCAACGCTGACGTATTATCATGACCATTGTTCGTCGAATTAGGTACAGAGGCAGACGTGGACGACGTAAAGGCGACGGAGCGCGCGGCAATTGCCGAGGTGACACGGGCCTGAAACTATAACCCTAACCTGAGTGCTCCTCGGCCCGGCTGTCCGCGGGCGTGCGAACCGACGCCGGGAACGCGCGCGTGGACTGAGACGTTTGCCTTGCCCTCGTCGTTGTCCAAAAAGCCGTACAAGCCGGCCCCGCGGTACCACTCTCACCGCCCATCCACTTAGCCCAGCATGGCCGTAGGAAAGGTGTGTTTGTGTCTGTCGTCGAAATAAGGGGAGATGCTGAAGGATAATCTGTAGAACAAGCGCCTGTCCAAGGGCAAGAAGGGTATCAAGAAGAAAGTCGTCGACCCCTTCTCGCGCAAGGGTGTGTATCTGGCGTTGTCTGGGCGGAGGATTGCAGGCTGATGCTGGCGGACAGACTGGTATGACATCAAGGCGCCGTCGTTCTTCGAGACAAGGACAGTCGGCAAGACGCTTGTCAACCGCTCCCAGGGCTTGAGTGCGTACAGATATATAAGTATAGCGAGTATCATACTAATAAATATACAGAGAACGCCAACGACTCGCTCAAGGGCCGCATTGTCGAGTTTTCGCTCGGAGACCTGAACAAGGACGAGGAGCAGTCATTCCGCAAGATCCGTTTGCGGGTGGACGACGTGCAGGGGAAGAACTGCCTGACGAACTTCCACGGCATGTCCTTCACCTCGGACAAGCTGCGCTCGCTCGTCCGCAAGTGGCAGACGCTGATCGAGGCCCACGTGGACGTCAAGACCACCGACGGCTACATTCTCCGCCTCTTCGCCATTGCCTTCACCAAGCGCCGCCCGAGCCAGGTCCGCAAGACGACGTACGCGGCATCTTCCCAGGTTCGCGAGATCCGCAAGAAGATGTTCGAGATCATGACCCGCGAGGCGACCTCTTGCGACCTCAAGGAGCTCGTCCAGAAGTTCGTCCCCGAGGCCATCGGCCGCGAGATCGAGAAGGCGACGCGCTCGATCTACCCCCTCCAGAACGTCTACGTCCACAAGGCCAAGATCATCAAGGCCCCCAAGTTCGACGTCTCCAAGCTCATGGAGCTCCACGGCGAGACGCACGACGAGACGGGCGCACGGGTCGTCAAGGACTTCAAGGAGCCCGAGGTTCTCGAGTCCGTATAAAACCGCCCTGTTGTTGTTTTTTGTATCTCGCACGCACTTCTTCCTGTACTTTCATGCACCGTCCCACCACCTCCCCTTCCCCTATGCTTTTCAGGGTCCCTATGAGCATATGCAACATAAAAAGCTCAAACTCATTCGCGTGTGATAACGTTTCGGAAAACTGTCTGTCTAAGCACATCGAAAACTGGCCCGATGTCGGCATCAAATGCGGATAGATAAAGCAGCGCCTGCGATGATCTTTGTCGCCACACACCATGGCCGACGTCGCGTACCTCCGTAGCCTGCTCAAGGAGCACCCTGACTTCCCCAAGAAGGCGCGCTTGCATCTTGCAGCACATAGTCTACCTATCTAACTTACAGTACCTCTACAACCAGTAGGGCATCGTCTTCCTCGACATCTTCCCGCTCTTCAAGCAGCCAACTTCCGTTGAGGCGCTCCTCTCGCACTTCTTCAACCATCTCGCCGCGGGCGTCCTCGCAAAGGAAGGTGGTGTCGATGTTGTTGTCGGACTCGACGCGCGTGGGTTCCTCTTCGGACCGATCCTAGCGTTGAGGTTGGGCGCGGCGTTTGTGCCGGTGCGTAAGCGCGGAAAGCTGCCGGGAGAGTGCGTGCAGGCTACGTACACCAAGGAGTACGGCGAGGTGCGTGTGATTAGTTAGTGGTGTGTGGGAGAGCGAGAGCTGATGTTTGCATGTAGGATATCTTCGAGATGCAGGCGGGCGCGATTGAGCAGGGCCAGAAGGTGATTGTCGTTGACGATCTCATTGCTACCGGTACGCGCACTTCTCTCTGTGTCTGAAGTGACACTATGAAGGCTGACATTCAAATAGGCGGATCCGCGGGCGCGGCGGGTCAGCTCGTGGAGAAGCAGGGCGGGCGCTTGCTCGAGTTTTTGTTCATCATCGAGCTCACGTTCCTCAAGGGCGCGGATAAGCTCAATGCGCCGTCGTACTCGATTGTCAAGGTCGACGACTAGATCTTCTGGGAGTGTCTGTGTCTAGAGACTGAGTAGAGGTTCCTTGTATTTTTGTACAGACTTTCTATGTCTGATCCCCATTTCTCGATGCGTTGTGGGCGGCTGTGGACGGATTGCAGATCCGCATGGACGATGCGCGAGAACGCGTCGCGACGCGTCGACGGACGAGCAAGGCGCGTCTCGCGCTCTGCTTGCGACCACCAGCACGCCCGAACCTTTGCATATCAACGTTCCCTGCAATTCGAATCCTGTGCCCCACTAACAAGACTCCCGATACTACCCTGGCTGGGCGGACTCTTTCTCAGACTGCAGGTGCTTACAATCGGGCGCGGATCGTACCGTTCTGCCCTCACACTGATCCTAGTGAGAAGAAAAGTACGAATGATGTTGGTCGTGAGCAAGGAAAGCAATCGTCTACAGGCCGTAGAGAACGGGCCGCCTCTCGCGCCGCGTTCCTCCGCTTCTCCTTCCAGAATAATGCAAAGGCGTGGGATCTGAACTAGACAGGCGCGTATCGTCCATTGCATGAGCGGCTGGTGTAGGGCGCTGATATCTTTGATCTTTAGATAAGGGTCGACGCGATGTCTTGATCAAGAGACCATTCACTACTTTGTGCATCTGTTCTCTTGGATGCTCTGCAACATTACGCGGCCTTGCGGCCGGCTAGACGTACTGAAGCTGCCACTCAACACCTATGCGGCAGCGCTCGGCTTGCATTCGCGTACTGGAATGCCGCAGCGAGCGGCTGCACAACACGTCATATCTACAACGATACGGATACCTGTAGTCATGCGGTCATTTGCCGGATACGACGCAACCAGCTTGCAGCGTATGATCATCGAAGAGCACCGGTGGTAGACCGCTTAACCCGGACGTTCGATGTTCCCAGCATCCGTGAGTATAATCGCAAGCGCTCAACAGGCAGCAGGCAGCGCAAGCGCTGACACAGGTATAAAGAGCAATCTTCGACGCAAAAGGAACAGGGCTCCCATCCCTCACACAACATGTCCGACTTTGCTGCTTTCAAGACCTCGTTCAAGGGCGACATCGTCACTCCCGAAGACCCCGACTACGAGCAGGCTCTCACTCGCTGGGCCGCCAACGCCCGCCGCCGTGCCGCCGTCGTCGCCTTCGTTCGTGACGAAGAGGACATAGCGCTCGCGATCAAGTACGCTCGCTCGAACAGTCTTCCCATTGCTATCCGCGGAGGGGGGCACAACCCTGCTGGCTCGTCCAGCTCGGAGGGCGGTCTGGTCATCGATCTCTCTCGTCATCTCGCAAGCGTGCGTGTCGACGCGGAGAAGAAACTTGCATACGCAGACGGAGGTGCTCTTTGGCGCACGTTCAACAACGAGACGATGAAGTACGGTCTGGCTACCACGGGTGGGACCGTATCCCATGTATGTCACCTCGCTTTCCGAGCCCAGACTGATGAGCTGATAAGGAGTGACTTAGACCGGTGTTGGCGGGTAAGGCTGGTCATGATGTCCCAGAGGCGTCGGCCTGAATGCATCTTAGGCTCACGCTCGGAGGCGGTTACGGGTTCCTAACAGGACAACACGGATTCGCTATCGATAATCTTATTGAGGTTTGTCGGTCTGCAAGTATCTGTATCCAAGTTCCTCACGCGACAGTGCTGCAGGCCACAGTCATCATCGCTGATGGAACTGTTCTCACAGCGAGCTTGGAAGAGAACACGGATCTGTTCTGGGGTCTGCGTGGTGGAGGGTCGAACTTTGGCGTCATCAGTCGCTTCGTGTACAAGGTCAGTGGCCTTCTATCCTCTACCGTGATTGTCTGCTGATGACGTCACATATGCAGGTTCACCCGCAACGCGAGACGGTGTACTCTGGGATGGCAATCTGGCCCGCATCCGCGTTAGAGGACCTCATTGCAGTCAGCGCAGCCCGTTTCAACCAGCCGAAGGATCCGCGAGCAATGTACATGCTCCTCGTCGCACTTTCACCTGATCCTAGCCATACTGTGAGCCCTTCAAACACCGCCATACCTACACTCGATTGCTCACGTATCAATTTCTACACTGCCAGCCATGCGTCATGCTGAACCCTTTCTACAACGGGTCTGAGGCGGAAGCGCGGGAGCACTATAAGGACTTCTTCAGCATCGGTAGGCCATTCTTTCCTTCCACGATTTCTCCTGACTAATGTTGGGATTGCGTAGGGCCTATGATTGCCGACATGTCGCGCGAAATGCCATATACTGCGGTGAATACACAGCTGGTCAGTTCTCCAAACTTTCACGAGTCCTCCAATGTTGACAAGTATATCCAGGATGATAGCCTGCCTGTTGGAGGGTGTTACTATCTTAAGGTCCGTCCTTCGTTGTGGCTTTACTAGATCCATGCTCATAGGTGCGCCATCAGTCCGTCTACATGAGCACTCCGAGCAATAGTGTGGCACAAGCCGTTGCTTCCGCCGTCTATGCGCTGTCTAAGGAGTACAACTTCAAAATCATGTTCATATGGGAACACTGGAACCTTGACAAAGCGCGCGGGGTACCTGCAGATGCGATGGCCTTCAAGCGCCCTGGATCAAGCCTCAGCTGCCTTATAGTCATTGTGTACCAAGAAGACATTCCCGAGCAGTTAGCGCTCGTCCGCACTTGCGCCGACAAGCTCGCCACAATCGCCACCTCGGCAGAAGGAGATTCTACCAGCGGCCAGGTGAACAACGGGTATGCCAACTACAACAGTGACGCCCCGACGGAAGTTCTGGATCCGAACTCGAACGAGGGTATCTTGTCGGACGCGAAAACCCACGCCCTGTTCGGCGACAACCACACCAAACTTGCGGCCTTGAAGCAGAAGTACGACCCTGATCTTGTCTTCAACAAGTGGTATGCCGTCAAACCAGCATCAGCCAAGTAGTCACCACGTTACTAGTCGTATATGAGTGCAATGCTGTAGATCAATGCAATGAGAGTGTACTGTGTGAATGATGCGATTGAGGTTAGGGTTAGACGCTAAGCGAGCGAGATGCCACGACGCGCTTCATCCCCGACGACGACGAAGCCTGAAGGCCATCAGGCTCGCTCTTCGCGGCTTTTGTGCAGAATCGTGCACGCATGGTGGAGCAATGCACGCGATAGGCGCTCGTAAGTTTACGACCGTGCGAGTACAAGTGGCTTCCGCCGGACCTGCGCTGTATATGTCCTTGGCTTCTTGAGCGCTACAGCAAGGCTATGTGCCGACGGCTCAAGGGCTTGGGCGCATCGCCATCCCGCCAGCTCTGTTTAGGCCTTCCGATATGGATACGATCTCGTGTCATCGCCTCTCCTCGCCGTTATGGTCACAGATGCCTCCCTCGGCGCTAGGAATGCATTGCGGGAGCCTCACGCTGAGTTCTCCGCCGCTATCGTACCCACCCGAAGACGCTCTTGAACAATCGGCGAGTGCATGGCCTACAATTTCAAGGTTCATATCCGGCAATCTCTATGAACTGCTGTCAGGAAGCTGGGATAAGAAGCTCCTCGCTTGGTGGACCACCGATCCATTCTCATTGCGGCCCCGGCGAGCACGATCGTAATAATGGACCCCGCAGACGAGAAGCAACAGTCCCCGAACGACGATCGAGCCTCTAAGGATGAACATCACGGGATAGATGTCGAAGTGTCCTCCCTCGGCTCGTCATCTGAAGATGACAGGACCGGTGATGAGGCGCTGAAGCTCGTTGGTCGTGAACGGACGCACACCTTCAGCGATGAGTACAACGCCAGATTGCGGAGAAAGCTTGTACGTTCTCACATTCTCACTACATCTCTTACTGATGGCGGCCAGGACTGGTGGATCCCACCCTTGTGCGCGGCGGTATACTTCACGCAATTTCTGGACAAGACGTCATTGAACTACGCAAGGTGCGCTATGCGGCATCGTAGTCGAGACCGTGACTGATTTTAAGGCAGTATCATGGGTTTCCCTATCAAAGGCCAACAATACAACCTGGTCTCGATGGCCTTCTACCTGGGCTTTCTCATCTTTGAGTTCCCTACTGTCTACATCTCACAGAAGCTACGGCTTGCAAAATACTTGGGTATGTCTCGCGAGGTAAACCCCGCTACGCCCCTCATCTGACTGAGAGTTTAGGTGGTAACATCGTACTCTGGGGTGCCATCCTGATGTTGCACGCTGTACCGTCGTCTTTCGGCGCTTTCTTTGCACTCCGGTTTCTACTGGGCATGTGCGAGTGCTGCGTTGCTCCGATCCTCATTTTGATCATCTCCATGTTCTATAAAAAGAGCGAACAGGCCAGCCGCATATCCTGGTTCTACGTCATGGTAAGGTTCCGTATCTGAATCAACAACGCTGTAGTCCTTGACATCTGACATCATGGCAGAACGGCACAACAATCGTCTTTGGCAGCTTCCTTGCCTATGGCGTCTCGTTCTACGATGGCGACGCGATCGCGTCATACAAGATTGTCTACTTGCTACTCGGTGGACTCGCCATCATAGTCGGACTGGCCGTACTCCTCTGGATGCCCGATTCCCCTGTGCATGCTGCGCACTTGACACCCGAGGAGCGTATCGCTGTTCTTGAACGTGTGCGAGACGACCAATGCGGGACGGAGAATAAGACGTTCAAGCGCGCACAAGTCATTGAAGCCGTGTGTGATGTCAGGACATGGCTGATCGCGCTCAGCACGATGATGACCAGCATCCCGAATGGTGCACTGAGTAACTGTATGCACTCTACACTCTACCTGGGTTCGGGTGCTATACTCAATGCATTCTAGTCAGCAACATCGTCATCAAGGGCTTTGGGTATACCACGAAACAAACACTCATCCTATCGACGCCCGGAGGCGTTATCGCGGCATTGACGACTCTTGCGTGCGGCTACTACTCCGACAGGAAGGTGAGGCGGACCGTTCTCGCTGCTGAACAAGCCGAAGCTCACCTATCTCATGCAGAATGAACGCATGCTGCCCATCGTTTTTGCTCTCATCCCTGCGATTGTTAGCGCTGCTATGCTCGTCGGTCTGGACGGTTCGGGGAACAAGGGGGCGCTTCTCTTTGGTAGAGTCCTTTCGTTTGACTCATGAAACCTGCGCTCTCACTGATCATGATCTGTCTTGGTTAGCAATCAACGTGATCAACATGTACGGGAGTGCTCTGGCCATGATCTACGCTTACAACGCCAGTAACACTAGTGGGCACACAAAGAAGGTACCTCTTTGTTACAAAACCTACTGGTGGAACTCCTGCTAAAGACAACATCCCTAGCTCACGATCAATGCCATTACCCTCGTCTCCTTCAGTGTTGGCAACATCATCGGCACAGAGATCTTCCAGGCGAAAGACGCCCCTGGATACCTTCCAGGAAAGGTCACCATTTTGATACTCTTCCTCGTACAGTTCGCTTTATCGCTTATTCTGCGTGCCTTGAATCTTCACAAGAATAAGGCGAAGTTGCGCGCGATACAAGCAGAGATGGGCCGCCTCGGGTGGTCGGATACAGATGTGCAGCGCGAGAGGGAGCGTAGCGCATTTCAAGATCTTACGGATATGAGGTAAGCAGGGCCTCTTCATGAAGTACAGAGACTAAATTGGCATAGAAACATCTTCTTTGTATACACAGTATAGCAACAGTATAGGGTATAGGGATAGGAAGGATCTTGGAGTAGGTATCTGCCGCTGTACTTATATGAGCCTACGCCAACATTCTAGGAATCACTTCTTGTAACTCGTTTCTTTGCTGTGAATGGGAAGCATATGCAACGCTGGCCGGCTGCGATGAGGCAGCAGGCTGCAGCGACGAGCAGCGACGAGGGTGGCGCACTCAGCGAGCCTCCGAGTCGGGTTAGGGTTAGAGGGATGACGCGCCGTGCTTCCGACAACGAACTTCATTTCGAACCACGATGCCACGCGCGGCTATCGGTGGTCTTGACCATCGTCTCGTTATCTCACGCTTGTTAGACCATGGGGATACCGGGTCATGATGGTACTGAGCTCACCCACCTTCTTTCTGTAGCAAGATGAGATGGATGGTGAACGCTGCACATCAGGGAAACCCCGGCCTCCGGAAACTAACTTTTTCGCGACTTATTCCCGGGGCCGGGTAAATCCTTCCTCATTGCCACTAAGCGGTGGACCGCCTTATGCGGCACCGCGGGTCGAGCCCAAGGGCTCTTGAAACGCGCTAAGACGCGTTCATCGTCTCCTTATTAGTAGATAAATGGCGTTTTTTTCTTCCTTCTGCCGCCGCCGGCGCCGGTAATCACACGAAGTCCAACAAGTAAATTGTATACGTACAGAGCGTGAGACCTTACAAATATGAGCAAGAGGTGAAATGCGAGACGTAGCGCGTATCCGGGCGGTGTGAGGGGGAGAGCATATAGTACAAATATAGTCGGGGAAATAGCAAGATGGAAGGAGAAAGAGCAAGATGAAAGGGAAAAGAACTGATGAGAATGACGGGTATGAGGACGGCGTAGCTGGATAGAAGTCCGTGAGACGAAGACGAGCGCGCGGACGAAGACGCGAGACGCGGAGGGGAAGAGCGGGGAGGATGGCGCTGAGGCGGAATCAGCGCAACGATCGCGCACAGGCTGCTTTCCTGGATTAAGCGTCAGTGATTTTGAATGAAAGAAAAGAGCGAGCGCGACGCACCTGCTTGATACCCGCCTAAACCGTTCCCTCGCTCGATACCTCGCCTGGCTTCTGCATCGCCTCTCTGTGCTCCCTCGCGTGCTTGATGCGGCAGGCCTGGCAGCGGGTGATATCGCCATCCGGGCGTTGCTGAAACTCGACGGGCATGAATCCGCGCGCGAGCGAGGCCAGGACGTAGCGGAGGTAGAGGTGGTGCTCAAGGACGTCCATTTCTTCGTCCGGCACGCCCTCCCTTCCGATCTTGCGCAGCTGCTCGGTCGTGTACGGCCAATCGCTCGAGCCGCTCTTCTTGCGGTCAAGCCATTCTGCACCCCGCACGCCCGACATGAAGGTCGCCATGTGCCGCAGCCATGCCTGGCGCTCGTCCTCGTTGTCGGTCTCGGCCGACCATGGTCGCGGCCAGTTGTTAGCGCGGGTCAGGTGGGTGCCGAGGACGACGCGCTTAATGGCGTTCAAGGCCTCGTTCTCGTAGTTCGGGTCGGGGGCGGTGTAGTCGGGCGTGAAGTGCATGCCCCACTCGTCCTTCAGCATCGCGATGCCAGAGGCTGCGAGCGTCTTGCGGGGAACGAGTTCGGGGAGCTTGTGCAGCAAGTTCCACACGTTGATGTCGAAGATGAGCCCCGCACGGAGCAGGGCGTCATTCTCCAGAAGCTCGACCGTCGGATCGCATCCGCAAGGCAGCTTTCCCCAGGCAGGGCGGGCGGAAGGGTTCGCTCGGAGATGATCGAACGCGGACTTGAACAAGTCCCTGCCGCCAAGCTCGTCCGGGGCGGCATCGTACCAAAGGTGGTCCTCTTGCCAGATGTCGTTGAGCATGGACCTCCACGTCCTCGGTCCCTGCCGGCCGAGATCACTGTCGGGTCGATGGCGCTTGAGGGTAATGACCGCGAGGAAAGACGGGAGAAGGTGAACGAAATTCACCAGGTAGCGAATGAGACGAGCGTCGTTGGCGCCGATGATGATGTGGAGGGGCGGAATGTACGACGCTTGAGACTTCGTGCCCGAATCCAGCATGACGCCGTGGTCGAGCATCATGCTCTCCGCATGAGTAAAGGCGACGATCCGCATCGGGAGGTTGGGCGGGCGGGGCTTGATGACGCGGTCGTAATAGCTGCGCATTGCGGGTACGGCCTGCGCGAACCACCGGTAGCGCTCAGCGCTGGTGAGTTTGCTCATCTCCGGGTGCTTTTTTTTGAACTCCTCCTCGCGGCGCTCGCGGTCTTCCTCCTCCTCGGTGCGCTGGCGCTTTCGGGCTAGAAGAGGAAGTATGGATAAGTAATTAGGTAAAATGTAGAAAGAATGATAAAGATACCTTGCTCGCCAGCTATACGCCGGCGCTTGAGAGCCTGTGCCCGGTCGGACGGCTTGAACTCGTCCTCCTCGTCCTCTCCCGTATCTTCATCCATATCCCTGTCCCCATCCTCTTCGTCCGCGCGAGCACCCGGCCTAGCTATCCCCGATATCATCATCATCTCCGCGAGCTCCCACGCCAGGCCTGCCGCCGGATAGAATGACCGAGGTAGGTCCTTCTGCTTGATATTACCTACACAATAACGTTAGACAACAATGAATAATAAGTAAAAACGACTCAGACTTACTGAGTTTGGCGTCGACATCGAGAGAACAGCGCCAATCTCCCGTGGGCGAGTACTGGAGATCAACGGCGCTCTCGAGCTCCTCGAACGGGATGAGTACGTAGGTGGGCACGTCGTTGCCCAGCAGGAAGGAGTGAAACTTCTCGATATCGTCGCCTGTGAGGATGACGCCGCGCTTCGGGAAGTCACCGGCCTCCTCGCGGCGTTCGCGCAGACGCGCCGCTACAGGATGATCGACGTCGCGCAGGAGAAGAGCGCACACGTAAAGGAACGCCTCGACGATGGACGAGGAGCGTTGGAACTCGCGCCAGGCGAGATCGGAGTCTAAATCGTGCTGGAGATAGCCCGACGAGAGCAGGTAGGACGCCTTCCACATGTTCCCCGCACTGGTCGCCGGGATAATCGTCCCCTTCAGCGTGTGCCAGGAGAAGTCGTCTGCAAGCAGAACATCGGAGAAGAAGATGTTCTGCAGGAGGCGGGAAGTGGCCGCGAAGTCGGCCTTGAGGGTATGCAGGCGGTCGCGCATGTACTCCACGACGTATGAGTCGGTGTCGGTGAGAACGTCCCTGCGCCGGTATTCGAGGTCCTCGGCGAAGTCGGGGGGAGGTTGCCGAATGAACGCCATGTACGTGGCGCACGCGTTGAAGAGCTGCGGCTGCCGCATGCACTCGTACGGGCCGAGGAGGGCGTCGGCGTACACGGAGCCGGAAGGAGGGGCGGTGTCCGGGTCTGGTGGCAGCTCGGCGGTGTTGTAGGCGAAGAGAACGCCGTTCTTCCACTTCGCGGCAGCCGTGTGCCCCGGAGGCGCCTGGCGCTTGACCGGGACTTTCGGCGTCTCCTTCGCGGCCGGAGTTGAGACGGGCGTGGGCGCGGCGTTGACCTTCGGCGAGAAGGAGTGAAGACCCTTCTTCGCGACGTCGATCTTCTTCGGCTTGCGCGTTTTCGAGGCTTTGAACGTGTCCGGCTGCGAGTTGCGGGGCTGGCCTTGGCGGGATCGCGGTTGGGCTGGCCGGGGCATGGGCGGCTGTGCCGGCTGGTTAGGGCGCCGCGGCAACGGAATGGTGGGCCGCGGGAGGGTCTGCGGCGGGCGCGCCGGTGTTGATGTGGTTGGGGCGCGAACCTCGCCGGGTTTTCGCACCCACTTCTGCTCCTCCTTCCTCCCTTTCCTCCCCTTCCTCTCCTCCTCCCTCCTCTCCTCCTCCCTCCTCTTCTCCTCCTCCTCCTTCTCCCTCCTCCTCCTCTCCTCCTCCTCCTTCTCCCTCCTCTCCTGCTCCTTGTCTGCCGGCGTCTTCTTCTTGAACTTTGGGAGGGGTTTCCGGGCCGCGGGGCCGGGCGCCGAGTTGCCCGAAGGCGGGTGGTTGGCCAACGGGGTGTTGGACATGGTGGGTGGGGTCCCGAGACTCGCTCTGGAACTGATACACTGCCCAGGTAAACCCGAGGGACTTATGTGTACAGCGCGCAAGGGATGGGATGGGATGGGGCGGGAAGGTGGGTGATGTGGCGGCGGATGATGGGAGTTGATGGTGGTGGTCGCGAATGAAGAAGTGAATGCGCGCGGCGCGCGTCTTGTACCGGGTTCCCGCGCTCTCGCACCTGTAGCGTACAACTCAGATAGCTCTTTGACATTGGAATTAGTACTTACCAGTAGCACTGCGGGGCATGGCCTGCTTATTCGCGTAGAATGAGATCACACATAGAAAAAAAAAGAAAGAAAAATATATTTGAACTGATACTATTCTACTTCACTGTAATGTAAGCGTGTCTATCGGAAAAGGGGTTCACATAGAACCATCTACACTTGTCCAAGATGTTGTCCTTCGTGTACGATGAGGGTACGTTGCGAGTGTCGATGCGGGGTAGGAGGGAGATACTGCGGCGGATGCGGTCGATGGGAAGGATGGAAACTAGCGGTTCTTGTTCAGGGCCGAGGCGTACACGTTCGACGCGGTACATTTGATGATCGGGGCTCTTGTGCTCGTTGCGGAAGGGGGTGAACCACTCGATATAGGCGAAATGGGTGGGGATGTCGTCGTCGTCGTCGAAGAGCACGTCCACCTCCTCGGGAAGGCTGAAAATGAGGCGTACTCGCCCAACGCGGTATCCTGTAAAGGAGAATCAGCAAGCAATTCGAATGGGCGAGTGGTCGGGGAAAGATGAGCAGTAAGTGAGAGCGCACCTTCAATACCTATAAGTCCACCCTCTCCAAACTCGTCAATCAACGCAGTACTAAACTGCCCGTGAACCATCCTCCCCTGCGTGTCCCGATAGCGAGGTCTGGCGATGACCGAGTCTGGCAGCTCTGCCACGAAGTCGCCTGTGCGTTCGAAGGGGTCGGGGTGCCAGAACTTCATGCGGTGATGGGCGCGGATGAAAGAGCACGGGGTGGGGAAATCCCGTGCCAATAGCGCGATATGTTGGTCGGTGTCCTCGGGGTCCTGCAACTTGAGAATGCACTCTTTGAGCACGCGTTCGAAGTCCGTAACGCCGTAGCGCTGCTCGGCCTGCTCAAATGTGAGTCTCCGGACGCTGGCTTCGTTGGCGACGGTATTCTTGAACCGAATTGCGCGCGGGAGGCGTATGCGTGGGTGTGCGTTGTCGTCGGCGGGATCTCGGAGGCGCCAGTCGATATAGGCCTGGTGGGCGCGTATCTGCTCGCGCCGCTGGAGCCAGACCGTCATTTGAGGGTACTCGTCCTTCCGGTTTGTCGCGCGGTAAGCAGATTTGGTGTAGTCGATGTGTAAGCGTTCAGAATACGAGGTGTTGTAGCCGTCCGCGGTGCCGAAGAGCTTGATTTGTCGCACATAGTGCGAGATCGCGTGCATCTTGGGGAAATTGAAGTGCTCGCGTGCACCGAGAGTCTTGAAGACGTCCTTGTAGTCGTGGAATTTCCTGAGCGCGTCCGTGAGGTCGGTGAGGGTGCCCTCAGATGCTTCCGGCGCCTGGGCGAGGTAGACGAAATCGAGCAAGGCGCGTGTTGCCCGCACAACGCGGCGGGCACGAGCACGATGAGGATCGGGGCCGGGAAGGGGTATGTCAGCGATGACGCCGAGCAGAACGCGGCAAATGTCCTGGTGCTCGGTGCCAGAGACACGCGCTAGGACTGATATGCCCTTCTGGAAGTGTCGGAGCTGGTGGTTGGCGGGGAGGCACTTGAAGCGGTCGTCGATGGCCTTCTCGCCATAGACGTCCTTAAGCCACGCGATCAGGTGCTTGACCATTCCTTGGTAGAGCTGATGGAGGATGTCGGGCTGCAGAGCTTGATAAATATTCGCGTAAGCCCAGTCCTTCCAGAAGGGGTTGATGGGCTTGACGCCGGCGTTTTGGCAAGCCTCTATGAATTCGGCGGCATTGTCTTCGTCGTCCTGCAGGCGGAGCGCGGCATTAGCCGTGGCGGCGTTCCGGAGGGGGCAGTCGAGCGCAGTGCCGAAGAGCGAGCGATCCATCGTCCCTTTGGGGCATGTGCCGTACAGGGCGCCGGCTACGAGAACTTGCTCGGGATAATCCCCGACGTAAGCAGCGAGGAGAGGATGGCACCGCCGCTTGGCGCCGTCGCCCGATGTCAAAACGACACCCTTCTTCGACTTGGCCTTGAGCGGCGCCAGGATGGCGGACATGCAGCGGTGGAAAAGGTTGATGTGGGCGCGGCGTCGGATGTCGTCGTTCTTGATCCCCTTCAAGCTGGTGCACGGAAGGTACCCGAGAAGCACCATGCCTTGAAGCGAGGTCTTGCGGCGTATGTCCTTCGGGATGTTGCCGATGGTGAGGTAGACGGGGTAGGCGGAGCGATTACGGAAGAGGGTAAGTTGGGTTTTGTCGGAGGAAATGATGAGGGGTACAATGGTGGCGCCTGGCCGTTTCCGTTCTATCTTTTTCTAAGACAAATGTTAGCGTAGAAGTAGTGAATAGAATGTAGCATACGCACTTGAATCCACCACCACCATAAACCAGTATGCATATCCGAATAGTTTCGTTCCTCCTCGCCTCCATCGATGACGTAGTGCTTCTCGGGCGCGTAGACCATGTAACGCGCGAATTCGGGCCGCCCGTACAGCTCTCGTAGGACCTCGAGCGAGTCCCGCATGTAGAGATCGAGCTTCTCGCTGCCAAGCGAGTACGTGAGGCGCTTAAAGTCGGCGCGCGGTGGGAGGTCTTCGTCGAGTATACGGTTCAAGCCCGTATTGTCGTGAAACTGTAGGTCAAGCTTCTGGACGAGCTATGGGCAAATTAGTGAGAAGTCGCTCCATAATTAGATGCATACGACGTACCGTAGGAATCTTGAGGAGCGCGGTGAGCTGGTTGGCGCCTATGGACTGGGTCTTGGCCCATTCCGCTACATCCCAATCCATCTTGGTCTGGAATGGAGAATAGGGGTTCGCGGGGTCTACGTCCCTTCCCATTCGAGCCTCGTAGTCGCTGAACGGATCACCTGGGGCACGGTTCGGGTTGAGTACCTCGCCCGCGCGACCAGGAAAGCGGACTACTCTCCTCGGCTGCTGTGCGTCAGCTGGAGGTGGTGATGAGCCCGGAGGAGGTGGTGATGAGCCCGGTGGCGGCGGGGATGAGCCCGGTGGCGGCGGGGAAGAGCCCGGTGGCGGCGGGGAAGAGCCCGGTGGCGGCGGGGATGAACCCGGTGGAGGTGGGGATGAACCTGGCGGAGGCGGGGATGAACCCGGTGGTGGAGGCGTCGAGCCTGGAGGGGGCGGAGATGAGCCTGGCGGGGAAGGGGATCTCGAATGTGGTGGAGGGCGGAGTGTCGAGATCGCATGGTGTGCGCCGCGCGGCCTGGGTGGAGGCGTATCGTCCTCCTCATCCTCGTCGTCGCTATACCGCATACGTCGTTCCTCCTCCTCCTCCTCCTCCTCCTTCACTTCCTCTCTGAAGACGTCGTCTTCAAGATTTCTCCCTCGCGCATATGCGCGCCCATGCTGCCCGTCCCCCCACAGACCGTCGTCATCGTCATCGTCGTCGTCGTCATCCCATAACAACCGCGCCGGCGGATCCTCCGGTGGGTCATATCCCTCGCCCTCATCGCCTGAACCCTCCTCCTCGTGAAACGCCTTCACCTCAACACCTTCATCCTCGATTAATCTGGGCTCCTCGTCCTCAACCTCCATGCCTCCTGCATCGGACGCTCGATCCGAGCCATCGGCGCCCTGCAAGTCGTCCTCTTCGCTAGGTAGCGCCTGGTCGGATTCGGAGGATGAGCTTCGTCCATCCGGCGCGGTGGTGCCAGCGCGTGAGCCCTCGCGCACAAACTTGTAGCGCACGCTTTTGGCTAAGGCGCACTTTTCCACTGCGCCGCGGTGCTGCTGGACGCCTTTCGCTCCCGTGAACTTCTTGAGGCAGATCGGGCATTGATTCCGGGTGATATACCGGATCTCCTCGTCCGAAGACTCCTCGGTCTCTGAGGATGAAGAATGGTTCGAGGGACCGGCCGTGGTAGACGCAGAGGGACCAGCTGCAAAGAAATGATCAGATGGGTAGTATTAGGCATGCATAACCAAGAAGAACATACCAGAAGCGTTACGGGCGCCGCCGCGCAAGCAGTATCGCACCTCGATGGTCGAATTGTCGCACATGCCGGCCAGTAAGAGGTTCTGAGAGGGTTGTAGTGGGCGAGGGAACGAATCGGTTGCCGAATGGAGGATGAGCGTATAGGTTATCGATTTTCCGAGATAACCGCGGTGCCGCCGCTTGAGCTCGTTGACCACCCAAGCCGTTGTTGCATAGAAAGGGACTCCTGTAAGGTGAATTAGCGGTAGAATAATCACATCAAATATGCAAGACTTACTGATCAAGACGCCTTTACAAGGCAAGCCGGTCACGAAGACGTTGCAGACCGGATGGCGCCGTTTTGCACGCGTCAGCGGAAAGGGCAGTAGAGGTGCCCTATACCATCCGCGGTGCCGCAAGAACCAGACCAAGAGCTGGAAGAGCTCGCGCAGTTCGAGACCGAGTAGAATCTGACCGCCGTAAGCCTGTAGAAAGGATAGCGCCAAGGGGATGGCGAATGAGAGCGCGGCGTGCAGGACTTCTCGAGCGCAGGAAGCGACGTGGGGGGCCAGCGGAGCCAGTACCGAAGATCCAGGCTGGGTATCCCGTACCCGGTAGGGCAGGAACAGGAGGAGGAGGAGCGCACAGAGTGTATGCATTGCTGCACACACCCGCACTTGCACAGGGACAACCCGAGTGCTGCGAGAGGGAGGGGAGAGGAAGGGAATGGGCGTGTATGGGGAAGAAGACGGTCGAAAACAAGATGAGGAAAGATGGGAAGGCGGTTAGGAACCGCTAAGTCCGAATGTGACCGAGAAAAGAGGACAAAATCGAGTCTGTCGCGTGCAGGTGAAATAATGGTTTGAAAAAGAAGGGGAAATACATTTGTGACAGGAAACTAAGCGAGACATGAGGTGATGCGGGAGTCCACTTGCCGAAAGCGCGACGCGTACCCTCCCCTTCCTTCCCTACCACCAACCGCGCCATGCCCCCTCGCGCTACTCGCTCCCAGACCCGCAACAACGCACCCGCCGCTCCCAAACCTCCTGCGCCTACCGAGACGCAGGCGAAGAAGGGCGGCCGAGGCCGCAAGGCGACGCCGGCCAATGGCAAAGGCACCAAGTCTTCTCCTGCTGTTGAGCAGGACGAGACGCCTGCGCCTGCCGGCGACGCGTCGAAGGACGAGGTTCCACCTCCGCCTGCTCGGAAGACGGGCGGCCGGAAGGCAACGCCAGCCAACGGCAAAGGTGCCAAGTCTTCGCCTGCTGTTGAGCAGAACGAGACGCCTGCGCCTGCCGACGACGCGTCGAAGGACGAGGCTCCACCTCCGCCTGTTCAGAAGACGGGCGGCCCGAAGCCCAGGCCGAAGCGGAAGAGCAAGAAAGACGAGGCGACGTCCCAGGAGAACGTCAACCCCGACCCGGTCGAAGACGCTGAGGACGCTGACGCCACCAATCGCGTCGACGCCGGCAATACGGGCGCACCTGCGTCAAAGTCGGGTTAGTCTCCATTGTCAATGACTGGTTCAGGGCTTCCACTAACCTTCTCTTCCATTGCAGACTCGGCAGGACGGAAGCGTTCTCAGTCGGGCTCGTCGGCGTTGACCCCGACCCCTACCGACGACGAGAAGGAGCATGCTGACAAGCGGCAGCTCCGCGAGCGCCCCGTTGCTGTCGACAACAAGCAGCCTGCTCGCCCGCCGAAGAGGCCCGCCGACGCTGAACCGGTGGACGACGCCGCGAACACCAAGGTTCGCAAGACCAGCGTCGACCAAGTCGCGGGAAGCTCCTCGAGCGGCGCCGTTAAGCCAGCCGGCCGCAAGGACAAGAAGGTCCCTGCCATGGACGACGATGCCGATGCCGAGGACAACGACGACGACGACAAGGAGGACGCCATCGTCGAAGACGACGACGTGGACAAGGAGACCTTGGCCGCCGCGAAGCGCTCGCGGGCCAAGAACATCAAGCTTCAGGCCACCCTGGACGCGTCGGTCAGTAACATATTCGCCTGAACGTTGACTATCGACTGACTTACAGTGATAGATGCCCGAGGAGGTAGCCATGGCCGAGGTGGCGAAGCCCGGGGCGAAGCAGGCCGACAAGAAGACCAAGAAAGCCGAGTCCAAGGTGCCGGAGACAAAGACCAAGGTGCCGGCGACAAAGACCAAAGTACGGAAGGCGGCATCGAATCAAGTCCCCTCCGATGATTCGGACGTCGAGGAGTTCAGCTCGGAGGCGTCTGATACGTCGGACGCCATCTCCGACGCTGAGTCCTCGTCGCCGCCGCCGCCACCTCGCAAGCGCGGCGGCAAGTCGAAGCCGGTGGCCAGCAAGCCCCAGTCCAAGTCGTCCAAGTCGAAGCCGTCCAAGTCGAAGCCGTCTACGTCCAAGGTTAGTCTCGTTCTCTTACTAGTATATCCACACTTACTCACCTTGACGTAGAAGCGCGAGCACAGCGTCATCGAGCTGTCATCCGACGAAGAGGATGAGCAGCCTCCACCGAAGAAGTCGTCAGCTCAGCGGATGTCGGCCAAAGCGCGGGTAAGGACTCACCATTATTCAAGATGAGCACATACTTACCCCACTCCAGGGCAAGCAGCGCGCGGTCGAGCACGTCAAGCAGGAGCCCGAGGACGTCGAGATGGAGGAGGAGTCTGGAACCGACACGCCTGCGCCGAAGCGCTCGAAGAAGTCAGCGCCTTCGTCGAACAAGTCGGAGAACTCAAAGGTAAGGAATCGTACTTAACTCATTCTATTACGTTGCTGACCGTTTGTAGGGCAAGCGTCGCCAGTCCCTCCTGTCGGACTACTCGTCCAAAGTCAAGAAGGTGCGTTCGAACATTTAACCGGTGTACGTACCGGGCGGGCGCGTAAACGCGCAAGGGGGACCTCCCGTTGCCTATCGCGCTGCCCAGGGACCAACCCAAGGGACTTAAGACGCATCGGCGTCCCGCGTACGGGAGACGGGAGGGAGGGGAAGGGAGGATGGGGCCATGCGGGTGGTGGGAGGATGAGGCAAGGCGTGTGGGAGGCGCGGAAGGGCGCGAGGAGGCCGGCGCGTCAACAAGCGTCAACAATCAACGGACGCACGCGCTTTCGACTTCATCATTTCGACTTCGACCATCACGATGATCTCCCTCTCCCATCCTCCTCCCTTCCCTTCCCTCCCCTCCCTCCCCTCCCTCCCGTCTCCCGTACGCGGGACGCAGGCACGTTGTAAGCCCCTTGGGTTGGTCCCTGGGCAGCGTGGTATGCAACGGGTAGCGTGTGCACGCCCAGTGTGTGAGGCGTGCACGTCGGCGCGGCGACATATCTCATGAGAGATAAGTCCCCTCGCTCTGTATATCCGAATTAGACTTACTAACGTGCTTGCATAGCTATTGCGCGCTGGGGGACGCGGTCCCCCAACGCCTCACTGACCTATTTCATCCAGGTCCTTACGCGCCCGCCCGCCCGCGCCTGCATACCTGTTGAATTAGTACTAACGCGTCTTTATGCGTTCAGGAGGAGAGTGACGACGAGAGCCATGCTCGAGAAAAGGTACGTACCGCTATACTTCTCACCCACGGTGCGGATACTTAACAGATTGCAGCTCTCGATCAAGGCGCCCCGCCCCAAGCGCGTAAAGCGCGAATATGTCGTACGTCGCTCAGATCTCCATGCTATACCCGTGATACTTACGTTGGCTGTGCCATTCAGGACTCCGGCGACGAAGTTGAAGCCCTGACTCCGGCGCAAACTCACGCCCTTCGACGCCAGATCCGCCAAGACAAGGAGAAGGACAAGAAGGTCAACCACGAGTCCACCTGGATCACTTTCGGGAAGAAGGGCGGCGGCATGGGGAAACTTACTGATCAACCCCAGGTTCTGCGCACGAAGATCAGCCGCGCCATGTTCTTGCTCAAGTACAAGCTGTACATGGACGCGAACGGCAGGGCCTGGGCCCCGAAAGACGATAACTCGAAAGACGTCGAGATCCCGAGCGACAACGAAGGAACGCCGCCCGCGCAACAGGGAGGGGCCGCCGCTGCACAGGAACTCTCGTGGGGACTCAAGCTCTGTTACGACCTGTTCTACGAGGTCATCAAGGACGACCCTGAATGCGAGCATATCTGCGCTCGCTTTCTCAATGACGCGAAGTGGCGTCTCATCGTTCTTACTGCGGTACGTTTCCCTGGACAAGCTCCAGATACGCTTACTGACTAGATTATCTAGATATGGGACCGTCGTTGTGCGCAACGCAACAATCTGGCCGCCATCGCGCGCACCATGGTCGACGAGGGCGCCTGGAATCTCAAGAGCTTCTTCGACTTCAAGACCAAGCGCGGCCGCCGTATCTTGAAGAACGCTTGCCTGGCCCTTCTCCAGGAGAAGGAATTTATCCACAAGGGCACGCTCGAGGTGTGTGGTGTCCAAATGCACTTTAGTGTTCACTTAACTAACAGTGACCACCCAGATGAAGTCGGACGCTCCGGACGAGGAGCGCGTTGTCTACAAGGTCGAATCCATCGACCACAAGCACCCATACGGCAACCCTCTGATCGCCGAATACGTCGCGCGGTCCATGTTCAGTCTCGGCAAGGACCAGGGGACGATGCACTTCAAGCCGCATGAGTTCCCGGTCGAGAGTGGGACCCCGAAGGGTACCAAGCCGCGCAGTATAGTTCCTCGTCCGATGTTGACGATGGCGGGCACGATGGTACGTAGATCTCAGCGCCTGAAATAACGTCTCTTCAGCTGACATCTGCCCTCTAGCTCGAGGTCGCTATTCGCGATTACGCGTATGGCCGGCATAAGCCGCTCCGCTTGGACGAAGGCAAGGTCGCAGAGTGGTACGACGAGCACGTCGGCCATATCACCGAGGGGACACTCATAGGCATGTTCATCGCAGCCAAGTACGTACATCCCACTTTTCTATTTAATACCTTCTACTAATGTTCACGTAGCGCTTGGAAACCGCCGAAGGACATGAACGAGAAGCTCGGCGCGGCGCCTGCTTCCCTCGAGGAGAAGGAGGACATCGTCAACTACTTCCAGAGCAATGTTTCGTAGATCAGTATCATAGTGCGTATACTGCTTCGTCACTCTCCACAGGCCACTGATTTGATTCCGCAGGTCATATCTCTTGTTCCATACCAGTCTGCAAGCCATCCTCATTCCCGGTTTTCTTCACATTGTGCGCTCAACCCCACCATCCCACCCATACCCGTTCTCGTGCGCGCTCAACCGCCTCCGTCTCCGCTCTACGTCCCGTGTTTCGTACTAATCTCGTCGTACCCGCTCTCCTCCAACCCCTCACCCCCACATACAGCCTATAATCCCCATCTCGGCCCACCTCGCACCCCGGTCCCTACCCTACGCCTACGACTAATACCGCTTTACGACCGCGATACGTACCATTACGACTACGTATACGCTCTGACGAGAATTCATGATGCCGCGTTATTGCGCCTTTTCATTGATTTTTTCGTTCTCGTTTGAAGTTATCGGCGAAAAATAGAGGTGATAATCTTACTCATGCACTCCTGATTGTGTCTCAGCGCTGAGATATAGCGTTTCATTTCACTCTGATAGCGTGTGTATCAGTACTCGATGAAGATTTACGCTTACTGACTGCGCGAAATTCAGGCCCAACTCTCGACTAATACATTCTTTCAGCTTACTTGAACTGGTACGATTCATTATCACTCAGTAATAATGCTTATTTGCTAGTACTGAACTACACTTATACAGGTAATATGGCTATCTACGCCCCATCTATATACTCGCCAAATCGACCCTCACACAAGCTCATGCCCAACTTTTAGTGGACTTATACGCTACTCCTCGCAGCTCGGCCGACCCCGGTGGCCATCGAATAAGGACGAAAAAGACCCGGTGAATAGGGCCAAGGTTCTTCACTCGCCCTTATTGCACTGATTTTGGGCGTCTTTATGCCGCCTCAAATAAATCGCGATGAGACGCGTTAAATGGCTAAAAGTTAGTTTCCGGAGGCCGGGGTTTCCCTGATGCAGAAGTGCGGGGACCTGTTTACTGACGGTTGGCGGGCTCAGCGCTCAAGTCTCGCCATTGGAGCGAATGCCAGCGCTTCTTGACATGCGTGCCATTTCTCTTGAGAGCGCAAGGCGTGAAGTGGAGCACAGATGAGTACATACGACGTGAAGTTGGTCAATCGGTGTGCCAGACGGGTAGATGCAACTACCATTCCTGCTTCAACTCCTCGCCCTGTCATCAAATCGCCCCACATGTTCAATTGACAGGACCACTATGCCAGATCCGTTGCTTCTGCAGAGCAGGGACGAGTTCACCCTGCCGCCACATGGCCGCAGCTGGTATTCAGGGACGGCCGGAGGTTATATAGTCACGACACTATTCACATCCTAGCCGTGGAATCTCAATCACCATCGCCTTTGACGCGCAGAATACGAAACACGATACCTGCGATTTTGATGGATGAGAAGCAGCTCACGAGGGCGGATGGCAAGCGCCATGAACTCGACGCCGAGGCGCTCTCCAACTCAGCAGATGATAACGGGCGCGGAGACGAGGCGCTCAAGCTTGTCGGGCGCGAGCGCGTACAGATGTTCAGCGACGAGTACAACACAAATCTGAGACGAAAGCTCGTACGTGTTGCTACCTTTCCAGACTTCGCCACCTCTGACTCGGGAAAGGATTGGTGGATTCCTCCGTTATGCGCTGCTGTGCAATTCACGCAGTTCTTGGACAAACAATCATTAAACTATGCCAGGTACGAGGGACATCCCCAAGACATCTTTGTTATCTGATGAGAGATGCAGTATCATGGGATTTCCCGTGAAGGGGCAGCAGTACAATCTCGTTTCGATGGCGTTCTATCTCGGCTTCCTTGTCTTCGAGTTCCCGACGGTCTACATATCACAGAAGCTGAGACTGGCGAAGTACCTCGGTACGTTCCATATCCGACCGTACCCATTCATCCTCTCACAATCTGAATAGGCGGAAGTATCGTACTCTGGGGTGCCATTCTCATGCTACAAGCTATACCATCCTCCTTCAGTGCTTTGTTTGCACTCCGGTTCCTGCTTGGGGCGACGGAATCCTGTGTCGCCCCAATCCTAATTCTCATCATCTCCATGTTCTACAAGAAGGACGAACAAGCAACTCGCATATCTTGGTTCTGCTTTACGGTATGATGTTTCCCTTACCATGCAGTCCGGTGCAAAGAAGCTGAAGTCATGCCATAGAACGGTCTGACTCTTGTCTTTGGCGGTTTCATTGCGTATGGTATCTCTTTCTACGATGGTCACGCCATCGTAGCATACAAGAGCGTCTTCCTACTGCTTGGTGGTCTCGCTATCACTGTCGGAATAGCTGTTCTACTCTGGATGCCCGACTCGCCCGTTCGTGCCGCCCGACTTACACCTGAGGAACGAATCGCAGTGCTTGAAAGAATACGAGACAACCAGTGCGGAACGGAGAACAAGGTGTTCAAGCGCGCGCAAGTGATCGAAGCCGTGTGTGATGTGAGAACGTGGTTGGTCGTGTTGAGTACGATGATGACCGGCATCCCGAATGGGGCGCTGGGAAACTGTGCGTAGTCAGCTCGGCCTTCAAGCTTTAATGGTCACTAATTGCAATACAGTCAGCAACATGATCATCAAGAGTTTTGGGTATAGTACGAAGCAGGCGCTGATACTGTCAACACCTAGCGGGGCTGTCGCAGCCCTCACGACTCTCGTGTGTGGCTACTACTCTGATAGAAAGGTTAGCCATACGCAATTGCCATACTCGGTGGATCTTAGCCATAGCCATACAGGATGAGCGGATGCTTCCAATCGTCTTCGCACTGATTCCGGCGATATGTGCCTCTGCTATTCTCGTCGGTTCGAATTTATCGCACAGCGAAGGAGCCTTGTTGTTTGGTAGGTGGCGACTCCCCTATATGGCGTGGCCGTGCTTATCTCGGACAGCCATCACTATCATCAACACATTCGGCAGCGCCCTCCCCATGATCACACACTGCAGCAGTCCTGCACTGATTTTGCCACTGACCAACATCATACCTAGTGCTGACTCTGCCACGGACCAACTCTCTCCAACACACACTGAT